TAATCATAATAATAATCGTTATCATCACAGTTTAGGTATGTAGTAGATAATTTGAGAGCGCAGACTATTATATCTTTGTATAGTAAATCTTGCTCTTATCGGGCTCTATGTGGTAAAGAGTTCTTCAGCCAGTATCCCCGTGAAGGGAGATACGCTATAACTACGATAACCTGAATAAGTAGTGTAGTGGGAGAAGAAGGTTATATTACATACCAGAAGAATGACCGATGTTGTTGGGAAGACTCTTTGATCTGAGTATATAGCGCCAATCTTATCTACACCCCAGAGATCGATACCATAAACCAAGGTAGAACCTATGCTCCTATACCCCTTGTAGTTACATACTGCTATGACGTGGTATCTGATGATGAGCATGGGTATGATAATGATGATGATGAGATAACGAGTGATCTCATTACTCAGTAAGCTGGAAATGATGGTATACAATAGCAGGTATTTGGGAATCATACGCGGCCTTACCAATACCTAGGAGAATAGTTAGACCAAATATCATGAAGAATTCCCATGGGGTGGGATCTCTGTTTTTAATCCATTTATCAGGAGTTGAAGGATCCTGAGGAGATGCAGTAATTATGATACTTTGATCCTGTGATGAGGGGACTAGCGATAGCACCTGTCTGAAGTTTTCAACTATGCCTCTATTACTGTAGAAGAGGGCAATCCGAAGAACGAAAAAGATAGTGAGAATAGCAGCTCCAATGAGGATGGCCTGTGATGTGATAAGTAGTAAGATAAGTAGTAAAGGTAGTGGATACGTTATTACTATTCGACGTTTGAGGTATCCCTTATATATGAGCAAACCGTATACCCAAGATGACAGGCCTTGTGTGAAGAATAGAATTCCGACGAGGAATGGTATGACCCTCTGGCCTAGATATGGAGTTGCTACGAAGGTAGAGAATTCTCCGTAGAAATATGCATCCACCTAAAAAAAATAATAAAACAGAGATAATGGGACAACGATAACTGACCATGCCTCCAGCTACAATGCTAGGTATTATCACTAACAATTGCTTGTGTGTTAGAACTAATTTCATAGTCTTCAGTGGTGATACTAGCGGTGGAGGTGTACCTCGAGTGATAGTTACAGCAATGGATAGTATATGATCAGGGCGTACCTGGTATTACATCGCTCCTCGGACACGGTGGTACCATATTGAATATGAATACAGCAGCTAAGGGGAAGAGTGCCAATAGCCAACAGAAGATCATTCTTCGCCTGAGTGATAAGAGATACAATCTTTATACAACAGCTGTTGATGATGCCTCCTTTGCTCACTCATTAAGCGTGGTACTGACAGTAACGTTGGGTAAAACTAATGAACCCAGAATTAGAATCATGACTCCC